GAGTTTTGAAAAAAGATTTGTGTATAGGGTATGATAGTGGGAAAAATGAATGCTTCTCGTCATCTGGAGTCAATTTTAACTTGAATCATTAATATTTGGGGTCAGACTGCCTCTAGTCTTTTACAAGTGCACAGGAGATAGGAGAACACAACTAGCCTTTCTTCCATCTTCCACACAAAAGCCACAAATCATCACAGTCTCCAAAGGTGTCTATGCAACCACCAGCTTACAAGGCAGACTATGCAGTGGGACTATGCTCAAAAAGCCCCATCCCTGGACTCTGCAGCTTGCATGTGTGGTTGACACCCCAGAAAGATCCCATTATAATTTGATCTGACATATATATTCTCCATAGGGTTGACTTGGAAATTTTATCTATCTTGTGGCAATGTGACAAGTGCCATTCCACAAGGCTTTATGCAGTATTAGCTGGACCAAATCTGTGTACCTCTGTGTCTGTGGTGAAGACTAAATAGTACAAACCAATGTAAACCACTTGCACACTTTCTAATCACAGTAGCTGAGGACAAAATGTATCAAATGCTAAAATAGATTAACATTTGCTTTACAGGCCTACAATAAAATGCTAAATACAGTAGTCTTGTGTTCAGAGATTACTTGTGACATATATCCTCCTCCTGAAGTTGAGCAATTGCCCTTGTCTTCTCTGTCAAAAAGAGAGCATAGTTCCTAGAGGTTTGGTACTTCTCTCATGACAGTTTGCTGGAAGCCCTTTGCTGGGCAGAGACCTTATCAAGCCAGCCTGAACATTAGGACACTCTACAAAGTATTTTGGGCTTAAACCCCTCTGGAGAAGAGAGAAAACCTGATATTTGCTCACCTTCAGATCAGGTGTCTGAAAACTGAGAAGCTGGTGGACATAGGTTCTTGTCACTGCAAATTCGGATGATGTAATCCCAAATGTTTTTCCCAGGGAAATTTGTCTATTAGACCTCCCATTGAGATGGCCAACATGAAAATCTCTGCAAATTCAGTATTTTATGAGAAGAAGAAAGGCAGAAGAGTTGGTCAGATCTAGCCACGAGGAAACTCGCAGTATTTTAAGAAATAAAAAGAATTGCATAATTGTGGTAAAGATAAGGTTGTTGCCAAATGAACCTAATTTCACAAGCAATATGTGAAATAGATGAAGGTGATGGAAGCAATTAGCAAAGAGTCAGCATAGAATCCAGAAGAGAAAACAAGGTAGGAAACCACTGCAGTCAATTAGCTGGCTGAAAAATCAGGAGATTAATCTGAGTAAATAGTCAGCCAGTTCCCCTGGGCCACTACAACATTTAACAACAGTACCAGGTCTTCACCGATCATGGAAAGCATTCAGCAGAGAGTTACTCAATTGCCTAGTCCTGAACAATGGTCTACTGTTGATGAAATGATGATGAAAATGGAATTTTGTCCATTATGGAAAATAGGACAGTGAAAGACACAGAATGGCCTAATAAAGAGAGGAATGGACCAGCTATCAAAGCTTTTATTTTTATTTCCTCTTCTGTCTGCAGGGTGACAGTAGAGGACTCGTACTCTGCCTCAGTTTCCCCACAAGATGCACTCTTAATCACAAGAATAATCCCCACTAATCTGGTTTGAAAAGTGAAAAAGTCTCTGAATAAACATACCAAAAAGATATAATAATGTTCTTGCAAACAAAATCAGTTCACAAACTCTTCTTTGTAGAAGATATTCTAAAAGTTATGGGACCAAAGAGAATGGAAAAGGACTATCATATATGTGAATTAAGCTCTTTGAGGGCAGATACAGGCAAATCACAGTAGCATTGACCTCTCCACTTGCTATTTAATCTCTGAGTAATGCACGTTCTGCAGAGCAACCCCCTGTGCAGACTTAGGCAAATTCCAGGAACAGGTTTTAAGACTGTCTTGAACATGCAGATGACTATTTACACTACTTCCCAATATCCTTAGCATGGAGGTGTGCAAGACTTCTCAAAAGTAGGTGGAGGTTTTTCTAGAGAACACTTCCCTGTAGTAATTGCTGACAGAGGAACAGTCTGTGACACTGTTGCAAGGTAGAGGAAACAACAGCAACCGTAGCTATTATTTGCTGCTATTAACAACGCAGGTGATGTGTGGAAAGATAATGGAAAGGCAACGCCGTCTCAGTGCCTTGCCTCCAAGTGCTTAGCCTGAAAATCCAGCCTGATGTTCATATAGTGTTCTCAATCTGTAATCTGCTAACTCCTGTGATTAAATAGTTATGCTGAAGATTATAACTGGTTTTAAGTTGTACAGTTTAACACTAAGCATTAGAACTGACAAATGCCATTCCCTTTTGAGCAAGGAACTGAACCTAAGCCTCAGGGCTGAGAGCTGGAAGAGCACCCAACAGCTGTGAAGGGGAGGTAAGCCCAAAAGGTAGAGTATTTTTTTAATATCTGGGGAAGAAAAAAGGGAGAAAAGGAAAAGGGAGTACTATAGGGCTAAAACACTTATTTTACACAGGCTATGCTGTTGTGCTTGGTGTGTGGGCAGATCCTCCTAACAAATAGCTTCCAGCATGGCATGAGTCTTGCCTCCTAGGGGGAAAACAGGGAGAATTCTGTGCTAAAATATTTCTTGTGAACGGCATAGTGGCTACTAGGAGCTGAAGGGCAGGAGAGGATGCTGTGGAAGTTTCCCCTATGATAGAGGATGGCAGTAGTTTTCAATACCACATGTGGTTTTGCTATGAGCTGAAGTGGCACCAGCTATGTAAAGCTTCTATGAACATGGAGCTAGCAAAGAAAGGAAGGCTCAGGAACTGACCCCTTGGACTCTGGAGGACCCAGACCTCAACAGACTGATGTATGAAGAAATACATTACCTGTAGACCTAGTCTTGACTGAGGACTGTGAAATGTGACCATTTATACATTACTACATTAATGTGATACTATATTTACCTATGCAGTTGGCTTTTCTCTTTCCCTCTTTAACGAAGAGTCGCTACACTTGGGAATGGGGAAAATTAGCTCATGAGGTATTGAAAAGTTTTTCCCAGGTTTCAGGCTTGAAGATGTTGTTTTATCAACAGCCCTTGATAAATTTGAACTAATCCTTGTGACTGCCAAACAAGTCCTGACACAAGTTAGACTAAGAATAATTTTATGCAAGATTGGACCAGATGATCTCTAGAGATCTTATCCAATCTAGACTTTTTTATGATGGTATAAATGGATGATTATTTTTTTTAATAGCTGCTTAACTTAGAGGCAGAGCCATGTGAATAACTGATCTTTTGGTTAGCTGGATGAACAGAAGGTCGAGGAGGGAGACACAGTGTTGGGAAACAAAATTTTCCAACTCTCAGCAAGATTTCCTTTCTCATTACAGAAACACTTAGCAACATATCAAGGCATTGCATTCCAGGAGAAATGTCACAATTTCGAGTCCTTTCACAAAGATTATATTCAGTTAGGCTTTTTTGAACAAAATGCTACTTAGGATGAAAAATCAAAATGTTTAAAAACGCATTTCAGGCTTTTAAAAAAATGTGTTGTTTTCTTGAGGGAACTATTCATGAATTTCTGAAGAGGCAACTGAAAGCATGGATAGTCTCCAGCGAGCCTGACTTCATTTTTTGCCAGATAGACTATTTCATTAAAAAACAATCAATCCCTTTGTCTGCTTAATCACTGTTCTGACAGGCTGCAAAGGAAAGACGAAGAATTCTTGCTCCGTGTAGCGTTGCACAGAGTCACATGAAGGCTAAATGGAAAGCCAAACCTAATTTTGCAAGAAGCCATTAGGAGCCGTGGGCTCTCCAGTCCCACAAGGATAAAATCTTAACACAACAAGGTCCAACATTTTAGAAGTGAATGCCTGAAGGTCTGCTCACCAGGCTGCACTTCCCCATTTAAATACCTGAGCTGGCACACAAGAGTACTTAGCAAGCAGCATTGCAACTCGCAAGTTTGACAGAAAACACTGGGTGATCAGGGCTGTTCAAAGCCAGACTAGTTATTTTAGTACCTTGGAGGTCTCAGCCCTTGGATGCATATTTGCATATTCATGCATGCATACAGTCCACTAGAAGTTAATGAGACCACGCATTCCAATAAGGTAAATTTTTAAATGGGTATTTAGGGAAGATTTTGAGTGTGACTTTAGGAATTTTTGGTTTTAAGCTAAAACTTTGCCCAAGATTTTCCTCACACTTCTCAAGATACCTTTAAATTCTTTTTCTCACCTTCTTCCTCACTGGATTACTAATTAAAAATAACCATTTTTCATAACATCCAGAAATAATAATAATTCAAAATGGAGTAATTAAATAATAAGTTAAAAGATATCAAACCTCTGCAAAAGGAAAACTAACATCAAGTGAATATTCCTACAGTTTGGATAAACCAAAATAATAAACAGAAATTGCTTCCTGAAGCAGCAACTCTTTTGGATGTTGCATCAAAACTGAGCTGAAAAGCCAGGTTTGCTCCCCTGATAAGCCGAATGAACAGGACCCTGTTCCAAGTGTCTGAGCAAAACTGGCTGAAAAAAAAAATGAAAGATGAAGCAGAGGCAAGATGCCGATTGACTGAGGGCGTATGGGAGACCTAAGGACAACAATTAATCATGGATCTGTAAGCTGTTTAAAACTACTCAATGCTCGGGAGCCAGTGAGGGAGCAGCATCTGTGTGCTCAGACTGGCTGCAGTTCCTCAAAAACGCAACTCAATCCAAATTAGGGGGAAGCACTGCCATGAGCACTGGTTCTCTGCACTCCCTCCCACTGCCAGAGAGCCCTGTACAACCTTCACCCCACCACAGGGAGTCATTTGAGTGTGGAGACAAAGCCTGGGTCTCTAAATATTTAGACAATCCACGTTTTTGGCAGCATGTTGGATTTCCTACCCAGGTTTTGCACCGATGCCTGCTTGGACATGTCGGGATGGGAACGCCCAGCACAGGCCACAGAGTGTGCAGGTTGGATGGGGAACACAACCACTGTCTCTGCGTTTGAGGCTAATCAGGTTTGATGTCTCACCTCTTGGTTCAGCATGGGCTTGCAGCCCGAGTTTTTGTTGGTGAGCTGCAAGGGTGCTATCTGGCTTGTCATGTCTAATAACTTTCTCTTCTGAAGGCTGATATGCTGAAAGATCTGTGCTGCTGATGTTAAAAGCTGGATTTTCAATGCCTTCTGTTGCTGCTCTCTCTTCTTTTACTACAGAAAACAAGGAGGTCAGAAGAGCACGTTATAGCAAAGTGTATTTCAATGACAAGCAGAAAATTCCTTCTAGTAATTCCTTAGCTGAAAGACTCAAGTGTATCGTCCTCAAATGTCGCCAAAACAGAATTAGGTTAAAATTAACTCAAAAAAAAAAAAAGAATAAATGATTAAAATAATTACAAATTGCACCCTGACAAGCAAGAGCAAAATTTCGCCCACAGCCATTTGTCTGTAATTAGTTAATTAATCCTTACACAAATTATGAGCAATAACTCATCAAGCAAGGCTCACCCATCAGAAATTCAGCCGACTTGGATTTCTTCTGCTTAGTTTGCTTCAGAGCCTTCTGCTGGAACTTCTGGAGGGAAATTGTTAAATGAATAAATTAGCTAAAGAACGAAGATCATCCTTTATGATCCACAACTAACACAGTATTTTAAATATGGGATGGCATTGAAATGTCATTTAATTTAAATCTCTGCTAAAGGGGTCAAACACTAATTGAACAACAGAAGTGGAAGAATTAAATAAAATAGAAGAAAAGTTAAAACAAATGCCAAATGAAGGTCACATTAAAATACTTTGTTTTCCCCAATTTTAATTAATGCAAAGAAACCTCAACAAATGAAGAACATTATAAGACTTGTCTTTCAGTATACATTCAAAAGCAACTGCTTTATTTTACTTGCAGAATGGCAGCATTTCATTTAGAAAAGTTTAGTTATGTAGCATATTTATAGACAGACTTCCCTGACATCCCCTGTTCTCCTCTTTTCTAAGTCCACTTACATAACCAGTTTATTTTTTCATCACAGAGCAGCTAAAAATGAATGAGCTCTACCCTTTAGTACAAAGTAATAGAATAAAAATAACAGCAAAACTATTTTAAATGAGGTGTCACAAAAAACTGATCATGGTCCAGGGGAGAGAGGAAGTAAGACTCATCACAACAATGAAAAGTTCATTTGATATTAGAAAGATGCAATGACAGTGAAATTAAATATCAGGAGATCTTGGGGGACCTGAACTGTGAAAAGTTTTACAGTAATTCCCATGGGGAAACAAGGCTCAAAAAATATATAGTCACATTACCCTAAGGAAGGCCCAGGTACTAAGCACTGGCTTTGTAGAATACCTTGAGCAGCACTGGGCAAGCATCACACGTGGTCTCATACATGGCTACAGACCCCTATCGCAGATGCTGACAATCAAAACAGGCAAAGATTATCAAACCAAAGCACATCTGGGAGTATTCATCAAAGACAAAACCAAAGTAAGAAAACACTTCAGACCCATCTATTTTACAACATCACATGGCAGTTTCCAAAACCAACATTATTTTTTCAAGCCAGTTGCTTAATTGTTCAGTGATAAAGACCACTCCTGGCAAAATAGCTCCTGGAAACTGTCAATACAAAAGGATTAATTACAAGAATCATTGAAAAATTGCATTTTTACAGCATCCATCTTTCCCATTTGATTGTGGGTGTCAATTTCCAGTAGAAAAACAGTGCTTGCAGCAGACACAATCAATAAATCTGTCAAAAATAACTGGACCATACCACTGACAGATTAATATAGATATTTATATTTTCATTGTTATACATGTATATATGCAGACGCACATATATGTTATTTTGGAAATATATTCTTCTAAATTCTAAATTAAGACTTCCTCTAAATTAAGACTAAAATCCTACTAAAAAGTAAATGTGTGAAAATGACCAGACACACTCTGAAAGCTACAATAAATAAATACAATAAGAGAAATAATTCCTACAAACCACATGCAGAACAACTGAAGTTAATGATAATTTTGACATGAGTTCAATAGATTCAGAAATTTACCCTACTGCTTCTGATTTTTTCACAACTGAAAAATCATTCAAAAATACATATTCATTCAGTTAGTATCTTTAAAATGATACCTGTTTTGCAATATTAAAGCATTGGTGCATTCCTGCATGCCATAAAATTTTAATTGAGTCACTTTTAAAGATTCCATAGTATTTGTAACACTGCAGTGTGATAATTATCCTTATTATGCTGTGAATAACCATCACAAAAAAAACCTTAAAATTTAAGTTAACAGCTAAAGAAAACAATATCAAGACAAAAATTCTGGGACAAATTTTCAATTATATAAAACAGTACACATCTGTAACTTTGATGGAATTAAGATGATCTGTATTACATTCCATGTATTCTTTTTCCATGTCAGATTTCCCTAGCAAAACTAATTGCACACTATATTGACTATAGTCAATTTTCAACTGTTTAAGTCTGTAAAATGCACAAGCTCCTTTCACAGTAAAAAGAAGAAAAAAAATATATTCTTCCTCCCCACATACAATACAGATGTGTAGTGGAGTTTGATGTTTTGGAATGGGTTTGTGTACATGTGTGTCTTGGGCATTTTATTGTTCAGGGTTTTGTTTTGGCATTTTTGTTTGTTTGTTTGGGAGGGGGAAGGTTGTTTGGGTATTGGATTTGGGGGGATTTTTTTTTTACTATTCAATACAGTTAACACCAAATTTTGTTTTTTCAGTGACACAACTGACTACATTCACTTCAGTCAAATGCAAACTAATATTTTTAAGTAGTTGGTGTAACAGGCTTATGATCCCTACTTACTACAAAGAGATTATACCCTTGTCCCTTAATGCAATCAGGTTTTAAAAATGTATTTTTCATGAGTTTATGTTTTAGAATGAAAGCAATACCTGGTTTTCAACTACAGAGAGGAATTCTTCCAGGATTGCTTCTCAACATAACTGAATAACAGAGTATTTGACTGGTGGCCTTTGTGTAATCAACACGTGTTCTTGTCACTTTGTGCTTCAGAGGAAATTAGAAGACATTTTCCTTTCATACCTATTTCCAGCCAATTTCCTCATCCTTCTCTCTTTTACACATGAGCAATTTTAAGCAGTGTAAATAACATTCTTTCCCCCCTTTTTGTTTTAGGTTTCCTTCCCCAGCCCCCTACCATTATGATACTTTGTCTTCTCATCAGAGAATAGGCAGGAAATTATCCAGTGGCACTTTATTTTATCATTAGTCACTACTTGTTAGCTTATGTATTTATGCAAATTTATGTCAAAAGCAAATGTTTTTTAAGCAGTTCACACATATCTGCAAAACTTAGATTTCCAATAGTGAATTAAATAAACTCTTTCAGTGACCACTTGCTCTTTGCAGGCAAAGTCCAGTTATGTGAGCATACCTAGACAAATGCACATGAACACACATCCATATAGAAAGTCTCCATTCTAATTATAGAATATTATCTGAAAATAAACATTAAAAAAAGTATTCCTAGAAAAAAAAAAAAAAAGGAGAAGTTTCACAACTTGAGGCCAGAGCCTCAAGAGATACGAAGGCTATGCTGGTTTACACCGAAGGTGGAGGGGGTACAACTTGCATCCACAAACCAAACACATCAGACCTGCCCATTTACAACTAGCACATAGAAAGGGGACGTCCTTTGCTTGCAAAGTCAAGTTTAAAAGGTGATGTTGCTGCTGATAGCAATTCATCATATCTCAAATCTCTATCACAGTTGCTGAAAAATAAAAAGTCTTGCCTTTTAACTATTTTTTACTGTCTTTTTATCTTGAGTGTGCTGCATTACAGCAAAGACAAGGGGAGTTAGGAGTGTCTGAGCACAGTGCAGACTAGTAACCATGTCATTCAAAAAGTGATCTAAATCGTTAAATGCTTTTTTTTGCACACCATCATCATTAAAACGCACCGCCTGCTTTCTGATACTGACTGAAACAAAGGAAAATCGGGAGTACCAGAACCTGCAGCACTCACATCTGCAGGAGAGCAGCGAGCACCGCAACAACAGCAGCAGCAGCAATGGTGAGGGAAAAAACCCTCATTTATAACCAGTGACAACTAAAACCTATGAAGTTTTTAAAAGAATGTGATTGTTGTCAAAAGGAATTGGGTACAACAATGCTGCGTTCAGCTCTGGTTCCACTCAAAGCCGTGGCTGAGGGGCTCTGGGAAAGCTGCTGGAAGGCTGGTGGGCACAGACCAGCAAGAAAGTGAATTTTGCATACTGTACGGATCATCGCTCAGTTCAGGGCAGTCATATTGAATCTGTGATCAACCAATTGTGCTTCATGAAACCGTCAGCCCTCATTTATGTCTAGCTGTTTTCTTCTGTCCTGCTGTAAACAAGCTCTGCTCTGAGCTGTCTCCCTACCCTTATCTGCTTACGAAGATCACACAGACAGACCTCATCAGCAGCCTTAGAGTTAAAGTTAAAGTTACTGCTTCCAGACAGCAGTCCCCATGCAAGCTGGAAGTCAAAAAGAAGAGCAACTTTGGAATGACAGAGTTTTAGTTCCTTTTAGGAAATGCATACCTTAGATTCATACACATACTGGCATGTTATGTCTCTTTCATGAAATTAAATTAGGTGTTCCTAATATGAACAACTGTTTCTAACATCAGCAAACTAGCTCAGCAGATTCATCTATGCTTTTGTTTGTAGGTTGGTTGTCTTGCTGTTGGTTGTTGGGGTTTTTTTGGTTTTTTGTTTGTTTGGTTGGTTTGGTTTGGTGGGGTTTTTTTGTTTTGCTTTTTTTTCCTTTGAGGCCTTGTTTGAACACAACCAAAAGACAAGTATCTGGAAATATTGTCAATCTGGTAGGGCTCCAAGAACCTAATAATTCCTGAAATTCTCTAAGGAGTGTAATGACGGTAAACAGGAACAGGTATGTTGGCTTCTGTTCTCATTCACTTCAGTGAGAGCATTAGCCTTTCAACATAAAGCAGAACACAGTTTTCAAAGAATGATCCTCTTGAATAAAAAGGGATGGAGCCTTACTAAACACATATTCCTCTGTGAACACACTCACACACACACAAATGCGTTAGTTTGTATTTACAGCATTTAATTCTTGCAACCAGCTGCTAAGTCCCTGTTAAGTCTTTCCTTTATGCAGCTGGAGCTGAAAGCTCTTCCCTTCTCCTAGACTATTACTTTGTCTATTTAAGGGATGGCAGCCAAAGAGAAACAGCTTGTAATTTGCACCTGTCAGCTTTAAGCACTCCATGTTAGATTTTGCAGAGAGCAAACTCTTCATTGCTAAAGAGAATGACACTTCTTAGGGTCAAAAATGGTTTTTGAGCTGACTCTGCAGCAATTAATAAATAAACAAATAACCCCCCACTTTGTTTAAGCCTATTCTAGCTAGACAATAAGGCAAAAGGAAAAACCCTGTTGTAAAAGAGCACCTCAGTGTGTAGGTAGAAGATGTAACCCCATGTGTCTAGTCTAATATAATACCAGGCACAGCTAAACATGATTGAACCTGTACGCCGGCCACACAGGAGCACATGGGAGAGCTTTGGCTTCTTCCCCTGTAAAATTCAGAATTGTTTCAGAAAACAATCAGGTGCAAAGAGTCCTTCTGAATTTCTACAAACTGGGGTGCCTTTTGAGGACTCACAATAATCTTTGCCACCTAGAGGATCAGGCCTGTGAGAAAATTAGTTTCATACAACTAAAAAGAAATATAAGCTCCACTCCTGATCCAGAGATGTGAAAGCATTGCCATGCAGAGTCCCACTAGCTGGAGTGTAAAGTAGTGAAGGTGTACATCAAGGAAGTAACCCACGTTTGATCTTTCAGTCATACACAAACTATCTTAGCATGTTTGCTTCTTGCTAGAAAACAAGTGCTTTCAGTCAACTGCAGTATCATTTACAATTGCATTTAAAGAAACAACAATCTCACTGGTGTATTCATTTAGTTACTGAGAAGTAGGCTTTTCACTGCTTGCTCTTAAAATAGAAAAGCCCTCAAAAAACTCAAGCTGCAGAGCTGATGACAAGAACAAAAATGCCAGGGGTGAAAAAAAACCTAGAAGGGAAATAAAGTAAAACACACAATTTATTAAAGAAAACATTGGTGCTGCATTTTGATTTCATAAATTGTCCCCATTTGTACTTCCTGTTTAAACAATAACTAACATGATGATGGGTTAAATGAAGTTGAGATTGTCACAAACATGGCCTCACTAGTAATTAATGTAGTTTAATATGGTTGTTGGCACACATCTCACATGACAGATAATGTTCCAACATGTCACTGATAGGACCTTTCAGCACAGCTTTAGGAGATCTACCAGGCATTGCCGAGGTTGGTTGGGTCAAAGGGTTGAACCATGTGTAATTCAGAACAGAAGAGGTCCCACGGTCACTCCACAAAAACAATTACACTACTTATTTCACTCCATCCCTTGCCCGAAATTCACAAGCCTCACAGTTTCAGCGCAGTCAATCTCACTCTGCCCTGGGGCTACCAGCCACATGAAAATATGTGCTGCTGTGTTTATAAATCTAATCAAAAATAGAAACAGTAGACAAGCACAATGAGGTCCTACTATGGATCATGGGAATTCTCTAAATTCTGAAGGCACTTTTGTTTAACTTCTCTGGGCCTTCTCCTACCATTACATTGTCTGGTACTCTCGTTAATCATCCCCTTGACTTGCCAAAGATATAAAGGAGCCTATACGTCTGCTGACTTCCCTCCCATCACACTACAAATAATATTATGAAATAGCAACGGTAGGAATAGTCCCTTTAACTTTTCCTTTTCAAAGCGTGGTTTTTCTTCACTTACCTCTTTCTCCATGCCAGTCTGCCCTTTCTCAGACCTGCAGCAAAAAATGCTTCCTCCTGCAACAAAGGAAAGGTAGCATATCTGAATTTTCAGTCTGCATAGTTATTAATACCAGTAGGTTTAACAGACAGACTAGCAGAGCACTAGCCTAGAAACCTGCCAGGATAGGAGGCGGAGGGGGGTCCTTCCTGATTCTGTCCCTACTCTGACCTTGCCAAAGAGCAAAGGGAGGATATAGAGCTGTTTCGTCACTTTATCTTTTTGAAAACAAATTTGCATCAGATCATGAAAAAAAAAAAAGCTAACAAATATAAATGAAAAACCCACATAATTTAAGCTCATATGAAGAATTCCAACAAAAACAAGGTTTTGAGTGGAAGTAGCCCAGAAGTAGATAATTCCTACCCCCAGACAGTAAGTACTAAAATGACTCAGAGTTTGCTGTGGCATACACCTTATCTGAAGACTACAGTACCAAAGCTGTCAGACTCAGGAAGGTTTCTGTGATCTGGTATTTCTCTGGGTCCCATTTGTGCCTCATTCCTTGTGCTGTGATTTCTATTAAAAGGAAGAAAATTGTCCTCTACTTTGAGGTTATAATTAAGCAAACACACAATAACTTTACAAGTTATATATCATATCAGCAAAAATGCCTCAGTTTTATACCAGCTACTTTTTTCTCTATATGGGAATAAAATTTATTCATTCAAAATGGCTGGACAGGTTGCCCCTGCATTCACTCAAATCAATGGCAACTCAGTCTGACTCTGCACTTGCAGTACCTGAATCACAATGAATAACAAGCTTCTTCCTTTGCCAGCTTTTCCTTTATGCATTTACACAAACATACATTCAGATTATTTTGCTGAGTCTGAAAACAAAACAAGATATGAAACAATTAAAAATATCCCTTCAGAGTCACTCAGAAGCTCTAGCTGACCTTCTGGGTCAGAAGATGCCCTGTACAGAGTACATGTTTGGCCCCAGTTGAGGAAACCCTCTCTCCTGAGGGCACCCAGCAAAGAAGTGCCTAACTCTGAGTACACGCTGAAATTTCACTGAAATCAATACAATGGACAGTGGACAGGGCCACAAATACTCCATGGAAAAAGGCTGCATTGTCGCTCTAGCTGCTCAGTAATGAATGAAGATCTGAGCTTTTGCTGATTCTGAGAGCCTGCTGACCTTTGCCATCACTCCTCGATTTTGGTGCCCTTCTTGGGGTGCCAAGGCCATTGAAGCAATGCTGGGGGCTGCAATTCCAGCAGCTCCCATTCTTCCTACAGCCAGCCCTGCCCAAACAGCTCCTGCACCATAGCCCATGTCTGTCACAAAAAACATGCTCTCTGCTCCATGGCATTATGTGATATTGAAAATAAAGCCCCAGCAAGACCATGCAGGTAGGCTCAGGTCATGTAACTAGTCGTTGTGTCTCTGAAAACAACCCCAGAGTCCCAATTCCAAAATCTGGGATGAGTTTCCAGGACAAGGTAGTATGTGCTTTACTTTTCCAGATACTGGAACTGTACATCCACTGAATGCAACAGGTAACTAATTTCAAGCCCAATGGCATGGCATATTCCTTGTTGTGACTCAAACGAGCAGCAAAAAGGAACCATCTGTATGAATCAAAGGCAGTAAAAGTTTGAAGGGGCTCCTTCCCTTTTCAAAGGACAATTGCAAGAAGCTGTCAGCAGAAGAGAAGTGATCAAGAGGTAAGCTGTAAATTCAGTGTTTTCATCCATGGTCAACCTCTGCTCATTGGAGAGGAGACAAAGATGCAACAACAAGAACTTCCAAAGCCGTAATAGTCAAAGGAATCTAAACATTAATGGAAAGACTTGGAGTTTCATCTTAAAGAATGTGGTTGACCAAACAAGGACAGCACAGACAAAGATCACAGAATCACAGAACCAATTAGATTAGAAAAGACCTCTGAGATCATCGAGTAAGGTAGACAAACAATGAGTTCAGAGGAGATATTAATAACATTAGTGCCTAAACAGTGATTTTCTTAGAGTTCGGGAACTTCCTATTATTTAGGTTTTCTGAGAATTTTTTTTGTTAGTTTGCTTGGGCAGGGGACACTTTGTTGTGTTTTTTAAATGAGGGTGCTAGACATCATTTTTTCTTTATTTTTTTATAATACCAAACAGGCAACACATTCAACACTGCATTAACTGATGTTGACTGTTGCCTTACTTAACCTCACCAGCCTATTTTCTTTAGCTGGATAACAGCTGAATCATTAGCATTAAACTAGCTTGCAATCCTGAAAGAGTACAGCAGAAAGAGAGTACATGATTTTTCCATCAATCAAAACACAACATAAAAGATATTTGAGATCCCACCAGATATTTTATTTTATATCCAGTTGATGTGTTTTGCATGATTAAGGGTTGGACTTCAGTTACTTTTAGGTACATTTGTAGTAAAACGGCAAAGTAAAAAAAACTATTATTTAGACATTCTTAAAGCGGATACCTTCACCTTTTTTTTCAATTTTTTTTTTGCCCAATTATGCTTTATTTTCTACTAGAGGAAAAACTAAGGATGCTAGATTAAGTTGACAAGATATATTAATGACTTTCTGTAGTGAAAGTAATCTATTTTTAATGCAAAAATGGAGGAATTGGAGAACTGAACAAAAATAACTCTTAGCGCCACAGCTCCATTAACAAGCTCCGACCACCAGTCCCGCATCCAGAAGAGATCAAAATAACACACCTTTCCACTGGAGCATGCTCAAGTGCATCTTTCTCACAGTAGTGGATATTTTATGCTGTATCAACTACTAGAAATGACTTGGACTGCATGAAAAGCCAGTATACAACAAGGGTCTTGCAAATGTAGCTGTAAAATATACTGTTTTCACCATGCTGGTATGCAGAGCGGAAAAACTGTCCTGTTTGTAACCATGTACCCAGCGTCTCCTTAAAGTACACCCAAATGCACAGGCACATTATCGCTGGCCAAGGAAAGCAATGCCAGGCTCAGTTAAGGTGTTGGTGATTGCTGGCAGAGAAATACCAGGTTCATAGCAGGAGCAGCAAAGCAACAGTCTGTCATCATGGTGGCTGTCTTCGCTCCTTTCTCACCTTCACCTGGTACACAATTTATCACATGATAAGAAGCAGTGCTGTGGGATCTCTGTGCTACAATATCAGCAGAAACCACTGAGTAAATGATAACCCTAACAACCTATTTGTAATTCCCTTTGGACTCTCTCATAAATACCAGGTAGCCAGCAATGGTCTTTAAGAAGTATTTCTTCAGGGGAAAATTGCACCTCCAGTGCAGAGAATCCATCAGTCACTTAAATTCAGCAGGACTGACCTTTGAAGCCACAAGCACTGTGCTTATCCTTCTTTCATCATCAATTTTGGGAGCAGGTCCTTCAAAGTAACCTCAGATCCATTCTATACTTTCCCTTTTTTTATTTTTTAAATTTAAAAAGTAAGAAGCTTACTGCAAATATGTCTTTATAAAGATCATTAACACACTCAAAATTAAGATCACATTCAATTACTTGATAGGTTGTGATGTTCCTAGCTTTTTTCTGTGTGCCTGAAAAAATAGATAGATACATGATTTTTCTATTGATAAACTTCAGTAGGCAGCTAAGCATCACTCGCCTGCTCACTCACTCTCTCTTCCAATGGAATAGGGGAGAGAATCAGGAGGGTAAAAGTGCAAAAACTCAGATACAGACAGTTTGGAATCATAAAATGTTTTGGGTTGGAAGGATCTTTAAAGATCCTCTAGTTTCAATCCCCCTGCCATGGACAGGGACGCTTTTCCTAGACTAGGTTGCTCAGAGCCCCATCCAACCTGGCCTTGAACACTTGCAGGGATGGGGGATCCACAGCTTCTTTGTGCAACCTGTTTCAGCATCTCACCATCCTCACAGTAAAGAATTTCTTTTTAATATCTAATCTAAACCCACTCCAGTTTGAAGCCATTCCCATTTGTCCTGTCACTACATGCTCTTGTAAATGGTCTCTCTCCATCTTTCTTCTAGAGTCCCTTCAGGTACTGGAAAGTTGCAGATGGAACACGTTGAAGCCTTCTCTTTTCCAGGTTGAACAAACTCAATTCTCTCAGCCTTTCCTCATAAGAGAGGTGCTCCATTGCTCTAATCATCTTGGTGACCCACCTCTGGACTTGATCCAACAGGCCAATGTCCTTCCTGTGCTTAGGTCTCCAGAGCTGGATGCAGCACTCCAGGTGGGGTCTTATGAGAGTAGAATAGAGGGGTAGAATCACTTCCAATGACCTGCTGGTCATGCCTCTTTTGATGCAGCTCAAGATACAATTGACATCCTGGGCTGCCAGAATTTATTTTTTTAAAGAAGGAACAAAAAAAAAAAAGTGGGGTGGGGGGGAGGTGGGGAAGGAGAGGGAGAGGAATGAAACCACAAGAAAAAAGTGATGCAAAAGAAAACAATTGTTCACCACCAACTGACTGATGTCCAGCCAGTCCTCAAGTGGCTTTCACCCACACCCCTCACTTCAGTTTTATTGCTGGACATGACACCATATGTTATGGAATATTCCTTTGGTCAGCTGGGGTCAGCTGTTCCAACTCTTTCCCCTCCTAACCTCTTGCATAGCCCCAGCCCACTCACTGATGGGGTGGTGTGAGAAGCAGAGAAGGTCTTGACACTCTGTAAGCACGGCTCAGCAATAGATAAAACATCCCAGTTATCAACACTCCTATCACAAACCCAAAATATAGCCCCATAAAAGTTACTATAACGAAATTTAATCTCAGTCAAAACCAGTACATCACGTCATGCTGGCAATTCCTGTGGAAGTTGCAAATACCAAATTTTAGTTTCTGTGCCACCATTCCAATATTCCCATTTCCCACCAAATGGAAAGCACCACACACTTCAGAGTCTAGCTTCAGAGCTGCTTATGGATAATCGTCTCCTGATGAAGTCACAGGGCTCACGTTTGAGAGTACTGAAATTTTTAGTGACCATCATCTGACAGTACTGGGAGAGGAGTGAAACCAGCCCCAGCCTGGACAAAAGGCTTTCCAGAATG